AAGGTCTTGGTGTAAACCCCACAAAAACCGAACTGGTACTCTTCACTAGGAAATACAAAGTTCCTAGTTTCCGTCTGCCATCACTTGGTGGAGTGACATTAACTCTCTCTGATGAAGCTAAATATCTTGGCACTGTCCTAGACCGCAAGTTACTGTGGAATAGGAATGTCGAGGAACGCTCTAAGAAGGGATTGATGGCACTCTATTCATGCAAGAACTCCATAGGCAAGAGTTGGGGATTGAGACCCGGAATTATACACTGGCTGTATACGACGATTGTCTTACCCATACTTACCTATGGATGTCTTGTCTGGTGGCAGGGGGTGAATAAAAAGAAGCTGCTGACAAGACTGAGCTTAGTACAGCGATCGGCTTCAATTCTGATCACTGGAGCATTAAGAAGCACACCACAAGCAGCCTTGAACGCAATCTTGAATCTCCAACCATTGGACATTCTGATCAAATTCCAGGCTGCTAGGTGTGCCCTGAGACTCCGGGAAACAGATGCCTTGAAATCGCGGAACTATGGTCATGCCAGCATTCTAAACATAACGCCAAGTTATGACCTTTTTAGGGGGGATAGTCATATCAGTGATTATATTCCCCCCCACAGGGATTTTAATGACATTAAAGTCGAATTTCCTAACAGGGAATCCTGGACTAGTGGCTCCCTACCTCTGCCAGGTCTGTCAATCTTCACAGACGGGTCCAAGATGGAAGAAGGCACTGGCGCAGGCGTCTACTGCAGGGAATTAGGTATACGAAACTCATATAAACTCAACAATGATTGTAGCGTTTTTCAAGCAGAGATTCTTGCAATCACGAAAGCGGCCGAGATAGTAAAAGCACTTAATACAGACTTTACAGGACCGGTGACTATTTACGTAGATAGTCAGGCGGCCCTGAAAGCGGTGAAGTCGCATACTATAAACTCGAAAGCAGTTCATGATTGTAAGACCGCTCTGAATGATATACGTCAAATAGTTGGGTTATGCTGGGTTCCAGGACATAACGATATTGAAGGGAATGAGATAGCCGACGAGCTTGCTCGAGGGGGGTCACAGTCGTCCAGTCTTCTGATTGAGAGATCTGTGAAACCCCCTATTAGCTATTTCATTGGCAGAATCCGTGCGTTCTATTGCGAGGTAGTCGGCAACAGATGGCTAAGGGAACCTGCATGCAGAATCTCTAAATCTATCTGGCCAGAATTCTCTCATAAAAGAACGTCTTCGCTGCTGGATCACAACAAGAGGGAGATTAAGATCGTTGTGGGGATCATTACTGGTCACTGCAAAGTTAGATCTCTCACTTCTAAGTGGGACTCCAGTGGAGAGGATTACTGTCGTCTATGTGAGGATGAAGAAGAAGTGGAAACAATTGAGCACATCCTTTGCAAATGTCCATCGCTGATCAGCAGAAGACATAAACAGTTTGGATGTTATGAAATTGATAATCGAGTCTTCTTCAAAATAGACCCTAACCTAATTCTAGGCTTTGTCAAAAAATTGACTTGGCTAAAATAATGTCTCTTCCGCTTCCGCTCCCTCCTATTCTGACTACCTCTCTCTCTACTCTTCCACTATCTTTTCTTCTCTCTCTTTATAGGTACACCTATACATAATGGATGATCACAATGGACATAGTCTCCGAGTGGACGGTTGTTACAACAGCCGTACATCCCAAACCTAACCTAACCTATAGTCTTTTTTTTATAAATATATATATATATATATAGTCTATATATAGTATTTTTTATAAATAAATGTTTTAATGCAACAATGAATAAAATGGCATATAAAAAACGGATTTTAAATGTATTGGGGGAAGGGTTAGCCAACGTCAATTTTTTTTCTAAAAGCTAAAATTAATTGTGTAAAGTTTTATTCAAATCGCTTTGGTTCGATTTCATATAAAATGTTTCAAGAAATGCTCAACGTTTGTGTAATTGGCACAAAGTTTCAGCACATTGAGGTGTGCCGCAGGCTCTAAAAGCCATCAAATCTTGTTATATCAAATCTGAGGCCGTCCTCAAGTGTAGAGCAGCTTTGGAAGAACTTATATACAGCTATCGGTTGTGTTGGGTACCAGGACATTGTGACATCTTGGGTAATGAAAGAGCAGACGAACTAGCTTGACGAGGATCTTAATCCACAGATCTAACAATTGATGACTCAATCAAACCACCCATATGCCATCTTTACCGGAACTTTGAGTCGTTCTTCGACGAAAGAGCCTATGAACTTTGGCACAACGAACCTAGGTGCAACGTGTCAAGAGCCACTTTGGTCGACTCTGTCTACCAAAAGAACGCACTCGCTGTTGAATCTGAGCAAAGCTGAAAAAAGAGCAATGACAGGAATCAACAATACTGGTCACTGCAATATCAGAGCCTTTACTAGTAAATGGGATCTTGATGCAATTGATTACTGTAGACTCTGCGTTGAGGAGGAGGAGGAGGTGGTGGATACAATTGAGCATCTTCTGTGTCACTGTCCAGCCCTAGCTTACAGGCGGCACAGACTAGCGGGTGCTCATTTTCTACCGAGTCTTAGCTTCTTCTCAACAACCATGCCTATATATACAGCACGATTAGAAACCTAAAGTGGTTGGGAAAGTGCAACCTTGACACGTAATATATCTTCTGTCTGATCTCTTTCTCTCTGCAAGTTTCTCTTCGCTCTTTATTTCCTCAATCTTTTCTCCACTATAGATCTGTCCTTATTTATTTTCTTCTCGTGAAAGGTCACAGGGGATCTAACGGTCTCAGAGTGCTGCAGCCACATAAGTGACTGCACATCCCCAAAACTAACCTAAATCGACTCCAAATTTTCTGAAACGGATTTGGACCATAGAAACATGGGGTCTAAATCTAATATTTCGATGAGTCAAAATGTATAAACCCTCATTAGCCATAAGGTATACTTTTTTCTTGTGGAAATCGGTATTTCCGGAGATATGGGCCGCCAAAGTTGCGTTGAGGTCATTGTTTGAGGATAGCCGGCCTTCGGCCAGGTATTTAAGACTTTCTCCTATGGGCAGGTGGCAACTCCGGCTACACGATCGAATCTCCTTCTAATATGAATAGTGTTTTTGTACTTTGTCTTTTTTTTTTAATTTTTGGCTGGGGAGCCATTTTTATTTAAGTTCGTTAGCATTTATGTTATAGATTTATACGTATGGAATTTAATGTCTGTGGTTCTGATATTGCTCTTGGGCTCGAGAGGAATATATAGTATATTTATATGTATGGTTCCTTAAGCTTCCTTTCCCCTCCACTTTTCTTAGCAACAGTTAAGTAGAGTGCAGTGGATTGGGGTTCTTGTTTGGAATCTGTTATGTTAGCGGTTTGCATTAAATTTCATTATGTAGAATTTTGTTTTTTGCTGTTATGTATTTTTAATTTATTTAGTTTATTCTTTGTTTGGGTTTTTATTTTTTTTTATATATAAGTTAATATAAGTTATTGGCCATGCTGGCTTTTTTATATTACATTGTATGAAATAAATGAAATGAAAATGAAATGAAATGAAATGAAAATACCAGAGTGCCAACGGAACTTTGAAGGCCCTGGTGACAAGTATACCATTGTAACCAGGGCCCCAAGGACTCGATCCACGAAGGGGGCCCTAAACTTGATGTGTTCCAACAATCCATAACCACCAACCCAACCTAAGTCTGTACGATTCAAATCAAGACTTGTGGGCATCATTTCTTTGGCACCCTTTAATTCTCCCTAAAATAAACCACCCCAAACCTCTTCCATCCCGAATTTTCCAAATAAAATAAAGTAGCAAATTTTACTTTTAAAAACAAAAGTTAACATTTGTTGTTGTTGTTTTTTTTTATTAATAAAACTTTATCAAAAAGTTCTCTTCACACTTTATCATTATTTGTAAAAAAAAGATAACTGACTTCTTACTCGGCGTCTTCATCTTCATCATCGTTGGAGTTGATTCTGAAGTAACGGAGTTCATAGGAGTCCTTGTCATTGGCGACAACACGGATCCAATCACGCAAACTGTTCTTCTTCAAGTATTTCTTGGTCAAATACTTCAAGTAGGCCTTGGAGAAGTGGACATCGGAGTTGACGTACAACTTCATCTTGACACGTTCGAAGGTGACATTGTTGCCCAAGTTGTTGACTTTGTCGTTGACCTTCATGCGGGCCTTGATGTATTTTTCCTAAAGAAAAATGAAAAAGAAAAAAAAATATCAAATGTCTGACACAACACATCCGGCAATAACTTTAGAAATCCATCTCTGTTGTCGGGGAGTTAATAAAATCTCCTTTTTATTTGGAGTACGACGATTATCTCTTCCATTGTTAAGCTATTAAATCTGGGTAAATAATTTAAAAACCAAATATTGAAAGAGTTTTGATGTTTAATCTGCCACTGAGTACACTGTCCTCAGAGCGAGGGTAATCACTCTCTGAAAACAAATCAGGTCGTGGCCTATATTTTTGGGGGACAGAGATGAATTTCTAAAATATATTTAAAAAATAAAAATAAGTTACAACTAAAAAGCAAGTCTAAATTGTTACCTGTATTGCCTTGCATCACTTCTTTTGTTTATCGTGGGGGGAAGGATGGAAAAATTGCACCTCGTTTGGGTGTAACAAAAAAAATTACAAGAACGAAAAACTGACTTTGCTTGCATTTTGATGGGATTCCTGCAACGCCCAACTGGGAAACACGTTTTGGCAGGGCGCACTATGTGTCTTGGCTTAGGCACTTGCGGGTGCAAGTGTACCCAACCCAGGGCCCACCACTTGGCGGTTCACATAGCACGACTTGACATAGTTCACAGCCGGTTGCACCCCTGGCCAGACCCTGTTCTGGCAATCAAGGGCTACCCCGTTGTGCTACATCCAGAGCCCCTCTTCAAATAGAGAAACACGAGTGTGTGTGTGTGACACACACACACACACACATTGAAATGTAAGTGTTCGTTAAGAACCGGAGAGGGTAGACCTTACCTTCAAGGTCAAGTTGTTGGCAAAAGCAAAGTAATAGGGCCGTAAAGGCCAACAAATTATGGGCATTGTAAAGCTATCATCATCATCATAATGGTTGGATGATGTCTAACGAAGCTTGCTGAGTGGTCTAACGAAGCTTACTGACTGACTGGTCGTCGGATCGATCGATCGGTCTCTTTAGCCTTTGTGGTTGGTGGTTTCATTCTTTCAATCTACTTACGAAGTCTACAACATCCAAAATGTTATCTTCAGCGATGTTGGTGCAGTCAATGGCATAACGCAAGGAGACCTTCTTCTTCTTGAGGCCCTTGCCGCGCAATACAGCCTTCTTGCCAACCTTGCCGGTGGCGGCGGCAGCAGCAGCTGTCACAGACTTCTTGGGTTTGGCAGCGGCAGGCTTGGCAACAACAGCCTTGTGGGGTTTCTCCTCGGCGGGCTTGTCGGTCTTGGCGGCCTCAACCTTCTTGGCGGGAGCGGCAGCGGGCTTGGCGGCAGCCTTGACATCCTTCTTGGGTGCTTCCTTGGCGGGAGCAGCGGCCTTGGCGTCCTTCTTGGCGGGAGCGGCAGCCTTAACGTCCTTCTTGACGGGGGCGGCCTTAACGTCCTTGGCGGCAGCCTTGACTTCCTTGGCGGCTACATTTTTGGCAGCAGCGGCAGGTTTGGTGGCTTCAGCCTTTGGCTTTTCAACTTTGCCCTTAGCGGGGGCAGCTGCAGCCTTTGTGGGCTCGGCCTTCTTGGCAGTAGCGGCGGATTTGTCGCCCTTGTTGGTCTTAGCCTGGAATGGAAAAAACGAAAACACACACACACATTAGTCACATATTCATAGCCACAATACGAACTGTAATCCATTGTTTGCCAAGGCATCCATGGATATTTCTCAATAAAATCCACTAAATATTACACAAAAATAAATCGTATTCAATTTGTTTTAATTCTTTTTTATCAAATTTCACTTAAATATTGAAATAATCTATAAATTTAGGGGGACACTCACAGTTGGTGCCATGTTCAACGAACGACGTTACGAAGTAAAAGACCTTAAAATCGTATTGTCAATTTTGACATTAGCTTGGAATTTGGTAGTTGGTATTCATTCGGCGATGTTGACAGAAAATGAAAAATAGACCGCAGGTGATGATTCATAAAATACATAATAGATGGCGCTGTTCTTAGAATGAAAATTAGGTTAGGTTGGAATACAATTTTGTAGAAAAAATAAAAACGTTATGGTGGAAAAATATATAAATAACTGATAACTGAGGAAATATGCGAGTTATATCTAATCCGACTTTAAGTCAATAAACTTTACAAATTTTCTTCAGCATGCAATTTTGATGAACTTTAAGAAAATATAAAAATACCCCTCTGTAGTTGTGTCGCTTTTTGGACAATTAGTTAGGTTAGAATAAAATTTTGTAGGAAAAAAAGAGAAGAAAAATATCTGAATATATTAAAATATCCCAACCGACTTCATATCGTTCAACTTTACAGATACCCTCCTGGATGAAATTTTGATTATCTTTGAAGAAAATATAAAAAAATACTCCTCTCTGTAGTTGTGTCGGCTTTCTCAAAATTTCCTACCTTTTCATGGGGTCTGAGGGAAATTTAGATAAGGAAATGACTTTTAGAAACTTAATTCCCTCAGTAACAAATCCAAAACAAGAAGAAAAATTTCGATTTAGGATTTAATTGTTATTTTAAAGAGTAATGCTATAAAGAATCTTGTTATTGTTATAGTAATCCTCTAGAGAATCTTGTTAAGAATATTTAAAAAAAAATATTTTTTTTCCAGACAGCCTTAGGCTTTGCTTTTTTTAATAATATTGTTTCCATGTAGCCATAGGCGTGGATTTTTTAAATATGTTATTCCCAGCAGCTTTAGGCGTAGATTTTTAAATAATATTTTATTCCAATAATAAAATAATAATATTTTTCCAAAAATAATATTTTTTCCAAACAGTCTAAGGTTTAGATTACTTAAATAATATTTTATTCCCAGGCAGCCAGCCCCAGGTTTGGATTTTTAGATAATATTTTTTCCAAGTAGCCATAGGCGTAGATTTTTTTAAATAAGGATTTTATAATTGTTATTTATAAAACATGGTATAATAATAGATGGTAACAGCAAGTGTTGTTGTACAAAAAACGATACAACAACCACATGGAAATTTGTTGTTGTAAGTTCTACTAGTGTCAACTCATTTGACAGAAAAATGTAAACAAACAAACAAATTATCATCAAATTATTTTTATTTTGAAAATGAAATATTTTCGAATCCTCAAAATAAAAATTGAAAAGCTTGAATGAAAATCTATCAAATTTATATTTCTATCGCTTCCACATCTTTCCTATAATTGAGTCATTGCCATATATATGTGTAACACATATGAAAATGCTGGGAATAGCGAGTTATTCCTTGAAGAAAGATTTGCTTCCTCAAACTTTCCCAGCAGGCAGATTGAGTAATTGAATAAGCACATTTAATAAAGAACAATTACAAATTGTATGCGTTCCCAATTTTCCTGTTGGGTGATTTTCAATTTCAATTTATTTCATAAACGAGAATCTAGCCCAAAGGGCCAAAAGCGATTCAAAAAACAACAAAATATAAACTACTCCAAAAGCTTAAAACTAACAGTGTATTAGCTTAATGTTATCTTAACGACTATTCAGTTGGAGGGGTTCAGAACCATTGTACTTCAAAAACATTTTTATTATTATTATTCCATTATTTGATGCAGCGACCTATCACATAGGGCAAAGGACTTCAATATTATATCTACTCTCAACCATTAATTCAATTTACAGGTTCAAATATCTTATTATTATATCACAATTATCAATTAAAAAAAAATAAAAAAATATAATATATTATAGTTAAATTTATTTAAATGTTGAAATCAGTTATGCAATAAAAACACAAACAAATAAGCAAAACCTATGAATTTAAGATGAATTGAGGTTGAAGTAATCGTATAAATGAGTTCGATAACATTTTAAGGAAGAGTTAAATGTTTTAAGAGAAGGCGGTAAGGTGTTAAAAATTCTAGAAATTCGTACAAAAAAGGCTTTTTCCAATAAAGGACACAAACGCGGAACAAGTATTTGTATGTTTCTAACAGATCTAGAAAACAAACAAATCAACTACAGAGGAAGGAGTCTGCAACTTAAATACCTTATAGAACAACAACATTGACCTTAAACTCACAAAACTTTCAAAGGTACAACCGAGGAATTCTTTAACGTAAGGAGAAATGTGATCACGACGTTTAACACAATATACATATCGCATAACCCTATGGAACAATAGTTTAATTTTACGTAAAACATATCCACAACAACCCCCAAAAATCTCAATACAATACAAAAAATTTGGCATAATCAATGCATGGGCCAATTGAATTCTAATGCTCTTAGGCGGAGCAATATCCAAAGAGTACAACTTTCTTAAAATAAAGTTTACCTTGGACACCAAAGAATTAACATGCACATCAAACACCAAACTACTATCAAGAAACAAACCAAGACATTTCATAGAGCTTACAACATTTATAGAATTATTATAAATGGAAACATTTACTGAATTCTCTTGCAAGTTCCCAAAAAACATAACTTTACTCTTACGTGTATTAATTGAGAGTCCGTTTGCAGATAACCACGTTACTAACACATTGATATTAAAATGTATGGAGGACTGCAAAACATCTAAAAACACATATTCTCCTTTAAACAAAATCTGCAAGTCATCAGCAAATGCAAATGACATGCAGCTCCTACTACTAATACAACTTAGCAAATCATTAACATACATAACAAACAATAGAGGCCCAAGTACAGACCCCTGGGGTACACCACTACTCACAGGGAGCATTCCAGAAACAACATTCCTACAACAAACATACTGCTTCCTTCCAAACAAATACGACGAAATAAGCTTACAAGCTGAGGACGAAAAATTGAACAAACGATGCAATTTTCTTATTAAATTAGCGTGATTAATTTTGTCAAAGGCTTTCTCACACAACAACCTCCCGTACCAACAGTCTTCCTTATATTGTCAGTCAATCCAACGAGAAGAGATGCAGTGCCGCGATTACTCCTAAACCCATACTGGCTCTCATGTAATAGAGAATTTTCACCAATATAAACTAGCATTTGATCTTTCATGACATACTCAACCATTTTAGAAAGAATCGGCATTATAGATATAGGCCTATATTCACTAGAATCACCATTCTTTTTTTGAATTGGCACTATTTTTGCAATTTTCCACATCTCTGGAAACACAGACATTGTTTACATAGAATTGACAACGTGCAACAAAAATTGACCAACAAGGGAAAAAACAAGTTTTAGAAATTTTAGCTGAAATCCATCATAACCAACTGCCGTGGACTTGATTTTATTGAAAGCATCAACAATCTCAGCATAATCAATTGCACGAAAGGAAAAACCATCAAAAGCATCAACAGGAATACAAGAAACATCAAAAACATCTACGGATTGATTCGAAACAAAAGCTGAATTCAGAGCCTCAACATCAACATTCCCGACTTCTCTGTCATCAGTACACAAACCGTTTTTATTTAAAATTGACCACACTTCCTTTGTGGATTTATTAGCAAACATATCCCTATGAGCAATAAATTTTAGTTTTCTTATAGTTTTTTTGGCTCGGTTACGACAGCGACAAAACAATTTCCAATTTTCAACACTTTTGTCCCGAAGATAGGACCTATAAGAAATGTCACGAAGAGACAAGTGATACCGAATTTCAGCAGACTTAAACCAGTCATCTTTATTAATTTTACAAAATCTCCTTTTGACAGGAACTACACTATACAAGTGCCGAAGACCACAGTTCAATATATCAAGCTGGGCATCAACATCTGCCACAGAATAAAGCTTACCAAAGTTGTATGTATTAAAGGCGCTGGGAAGCGCCACAGGATCAACAGAACTGAAATCTGCATATTCATAAAAACTCTGCACACAAAAACTGGGAACATTAATTGATAGAAATATGAACGAGTGATCAGAAATACCAGGGCACAAAAACTGATTTGAACATGCTACCAAACTCAGACACGACACAAAAAAATAATCCAACAAAGAAGTAGAGGTATGCGCAATATCGACGTGTGTGGGCATTGAGTTGTGGACAACAGATAAATTTAATCTGCTACAAATTTCCCTTACAACTAAACTTCGCTGCAGATCAAACATATTATTATTGAAATCTCCCATAATAATAACATTTGAGTACCTAACAACAAGATCAGAAATTTCATTTTCAAAAGCCACAATATCGCCATGTGGCAAATAAACCACACCAACAAGAAACACACAATTGCTTACAATTAACTCGCAGAAAATATATTCAACAACTCCATAAGAACTTCCTCTGCACACAAATTTATGTTTAATATTCTGAGAAACATACATTACAACACCACCTCCTCTATTACAAACATAATTTGTCTAATTCATACTGGCACTAGTATTACGTTGGAATCAAATCAGCTGGGATTTGCTTTTACCTTTTATAATTGTACCATGTTTATAAAATGTGGTTATTTTGTGAAATAATGGACAGAATTTATTGATACTCCATATAATTTTTCCAAAAGTCCGATCGCAATAATATACCCATACATTCTTCCTTTTCGGTTATTACGAAAATAATTTTAATTTAAAGAAGATTTTCGTTCGTATTGCGAATTTCTCACCTATCCATAAGAGAAACTCTTAAATATCCGTCTTTATTGCTGTGATCTTTGTCCACATAAAACGAGTTATCATGGCGGTATTGTGGTAATTTAGAATATTCTTGCATGGCAAATCGTATTGGCGCTACTTATTGCTTTATAAGAGATATTTAAGACCTTATTCCTCCTTATAAACTATTGCAAATAGCGGGGTCGTCTTGCTCTAACAACAATACACACATATTTTAGGGTTAGTTTTTGATCGGAATTTGAGGACTATCAATGAAGATGTTCCTGCTGAACATTTCGTTTCATTTCATTTAACTGTTGGGGCTGTGGATTTGTTGGTGAGTATAATATTATTAGATGGTGTATCTAAGTCATCTAAAGATATTCTTTCAAAAATATCATGGATAATGACAATCGATCGTATGATCGGTTACGTTACTCTACCTTTGCCGTTCCATTTTTGACCTGATTACAACGATATATTATAATTAAAATTTGGAACAAGTCCTAAATTTGATTCAAAATCGAAAATGATTAGAAAAATAGAATTTCTTAAACACGACCGAACTATAACGGATTTTTCCCCAGCCTATTGAAGCGAGTGAGACCATTTAAAATGAACATGACAACCATCATTCTGGCCTGCCATATATTCAATCGTTTCATATTATTAGATTGAGATTTTTTCAATGTAGATTCATATGATATTTTCTCATATTGTCTCTATAATTAGATATTTATAGGTCCATGTTTTGTCAGAGCTTCAATTGAAAGTTTGAGTTTTATTTATGGATTTTTTCCAGTCACATTTTTCATGTAAAATGACTGTAATTTGGCATAATGACTTCTCGAAGTGTAAAAAGCCTACTGGCCTAAATATTGCAATACATCTTCCCATGGAAAATTCCCATTCTATTATTTTAGACGAATTTTGCGAACATTTGATATGTTAACAGTTTCCTCGCACACAATTTTTAATACTGTTATTTATATATTTTGTCCTGGTCTTGCCACATCTTAGTTATTTCGAAGGTCTTGGCGCATTTTCGAACATAATTGGGGGTTTTGAAGAGTTACCATCAGATGAAGTGTATATTAAATTTGTCATTACCTTTGCAATACCTCGAAATATTCACCCGAGATTCCATATTTAAAAAAGTCCCTCCGTCTGTTAAAATCTCGATAGAGCTCTCAATATTTAAGATATAGGTTTTAAATGTTGCTCTGAAATTTATTTTACTTTCTGTCCACTTTATGGTATAGATCACATATAAATCTTCATATTAAAAATTAACAATATTGATCCAATTTTTAGGATAGCTCCCATATAATGGTACCCCTAAATATTTGGATTTTTGGCTAATATTTAGTATTTTTTTTTTGTTCTCATTGTTTAGAAAATATCCCTATCAAAAATTATCGATATCGGTCTGCTTTTGAGCATAGCCCCCATATAACGATTCCCCTAAATATTCGATATTTTGGGAAGTTTTGGTATGTTCTTCAACAAATTTTGTCTACAATTTAGTATTTAAAATTCTCATTGGATAGCAAATCGTTCTACCAAAAATTATCAATATTAGTCCATAATTTATTGTAGCCCCTTTATAATAAATAGTACCCCAAAATATTCGGTTTTTTGGGTAAGTTTTGGTAAGCTGTAATTTGGAACTTTTAGTTCCCATTGGGTAACAAATCACCATACCAAACATTATCGATATCGGATCTACTTTTTTAGGATAGCCCCGATAACACAGCACCGCTGATATTTGGTATTATTTGTGGTGTAGAATATAAAAAATGATGCCCCACCCAAGTTATTGATTTGTTTTTGAATTATTTAAAATAAAATAAACCTCGCTGCCCCCCCTCCAGTCTCAATGCCATTCATAGTTTATTAAACCTAAGACGAATATACAAAAGATTTACACATTGTTAGACGATTTAATTTTAGAGATAACCTTTGATGACCTATCTCGCATCGGTTTTCATCTTTTAAAGTTGGATTGATTATTTTACGAAAATGGTTTCGTTTCCAAGCAATAAAATTTCCGTTTCAAAAATTCTGATTCATAAAAAATTATTTTTAAAGGGGAGGGAAGCGGAATAACGGAATAACAAATATTTAATTTGATTCATCCACGGAGTAGAACTCAGTTTCACTTGAAAAAAGCTTCCCTGAAGGAAATGTGGGGAGTTGTATCGCTTTTCTCGACAATTGTGGCGACATGTCTCCATATTGTCAACAACTTGTCTAGATATCATGTAATAAGAAGAATCGGTTATGTTAACCATCCAGCAAGGTGAGCATGGTTGTGCTTCTTCATATTTTTATTTTATTACCAATATAATTTTTGGCGGCAGTTAACAGAGACAATGTTAATATGAAGTCAGTAGGAATTTTCTATTTACATTTCCTACAGGAGTTTTTTTGACGGATTTTTTATACATCACCCGCGTATTATTTGGACTTCGAGTTATGTAAAAAAATAATTAGTCTTAAAGAACTTAATTAAACTTTCTTTCGATTGGCAAATGAGATGATAGAGGTGACTAATGGCATTCCCCAAGGTAGCTGCTTGTCTCCTGTGCTCTTCAATATATATATATATATATATATATTTTGTAGGGATTTAAACATGATGTAGGGATTTAAACATGATCTTCAATCCGGAAAAGTCTAAAACCATATACTTTGCCAAAAAAAAAGGGAATATAGAGGGTATAGATTTACAACAGGTGAAAAAATTAAAATTCTTGGGAAGAATCATTACAAATTCTCTAACAGCAAGGGGTCATTATGAACACATCAGTGAGGAGCTAAAGGGTAGAACGAATTTACTCAAATCTTTTAGAAGAGGCCTTAACCCGAAACTGGCCATGAACACGTATAAGAGTTTTATAAGAGCGAAGGTTGAGTATGACAGAACGACAACGGCGAATGCGCCGGCGTATATCAGTAAAAAAAGATCGAGCGTTTGTAGAATCGCTGGGTGTTACGACCACTAACTGGCGAGTTACCCCCTAATATCGAGCAAAGGTCCTAACATCCAAGGAAATTATAACAAATATATACAGCAATGAGAGTTAAATTCAGTTATAGTGCAATATTTTACGAGTTTGACGACGGATAAATTGACTATCGGAACAAATCTTCTACCTTTTACGAAGCACAACGCGCATCTGTTGATTTAATACTATCAATAGATGCGTGACAATTGTCCGATTGCTGTACAAATGTCATGTGGTTTGGACTCCGAGTCATAAAGGCATTGTATTTAATGAAATTGTGGACTTTCTGGCAAAACAAGCGATGGATGCAGGAGCATCAATTGTGACGTATCTGACCCCGAAGGAGGCGTTAAAACAAATTGGAATGGAGAGTAAAGGACATGTGGAGTGAAGACTTTCAGACAATTTCTTTGTCAAAGGCAGATTCTTTTTCGAATTCTGTGCCGATGTGTATAGTAAACCGTGGTATTACAAAATCAATTTGAGCCCGAAGGACACAAAATTAATTAACAGGCTTATGACAGGACATTATTTTTGGAAGAAAACCTGGCCACGTGTATTCACGGATCGCTAATTCCTGCGGCCTTATGGACCTGAGAACCACCTTCAAACACACACACAAAAAACCTACATACAATTATAAAACTTTGGTGGAAAACCAGGCCACATGTATTCACGGATCGGCAATTCCTGCGGCCTTGAGGACCGCCTTCAAACACACACACACAAATAACTTAATTTTAATTTTCAGTTTCGAATTTAAATAAACCCAATATTGCAGACATTCTTCACGCACAGAATTAAGAAAAAAATTAAACTACTTTTTGGTTTGCGCTAAAGTTTGACTTTAATTTTGTCACATTTATTATGCATAGTTTCTATTTTCTTTTTTGATTTTTTTTTAACTTATAATTTGATTTAAAATTAACTTAAAAATTAATAAAACAAAAAACTAAAATTAATATTACATACACATACATATGTACCAGGAGGGGGTTGGGGGGTTTAGTAACTAACAAATATCAACTCTAGTAGTAGTAGCATCTTTTCTTTTGTTCCTACATCTTCCAATCAAATCTCACATGTCGTCGTTAACATTTATTGCCAGCCTCCACTTGATCGCCATGGCCACCATCATCACCATTTCGACAAACAGCAGCAGCAGCTGCCGAATATGTGGCAAACAATAAATTATACGACGGAAAATTACAGCATTGCATTTCACATCTCTGCCATTGCAGACCATAATTATTATGCTCCAAATCCCTTATGGTGGCATAGGCCTCGGAAGATTTATTAGCGAATATGGTTAGAATAAACTTCGATGGCAAAAACGTTTGGATGACACGATCTATTAATTCGGTGTAATTATTCATCGATACATTACTTTCAAAACTCACATACGAGAATTCATCTTCGGGTGTTATGTGAATGGTCATATATTCACCACGATTATTAATGCCATTCATGGAATAGCCACATGGCTCGAAAAGGAAATCATCGATTACCATATCGGGAAGAATTTCATTTATTTTACTTTTCACGGTGGCATCCTTACCATCTGTGCACAATTCTTTGCTGAATATTTTCATAATACGTGGATCAAGTTTTTCCATAAGGATTTCAATTGTTTGATCGGGTTCCGACAGGCCTTTCATTTCAATTTTGGGTATTTCGATGAGTGGTCTATCTTCTCGTTCGCGTTCAGGGTGACTTAGGGTATAGAGATACCAACAATCCTTGTTGATTTGACCCAAACAATAGGTATGGCCACCATCGAAAATGGTATCCAAAAATTTCACCTCCTCACAGAACAGACGATGCGGCAGAAGTTGCAACTCGGGACGGGCGAAATTTTTGCGCGAATAAAAGAAATCGGTTATTTCAACAAAACCCATTTCGGCAGCCAATTTCATCACGGGTTTCAAACAATTCAGTGGGGTTGTTGTGCCACAGGTCTTTAAAATCCATCGGCGTTTCGACACGAACATACTGGACTCACTGAGGACATAGGCATCGACTTCGTCATTTTTGGTGAAACTAATGATTTCACATTTCACGGCACGCAACAGGCCATCCCAGGTCTCTTTGGTGATTTTCCTTAGATCAGCTTCATCCGGGTTTAGGGGTGGATCGGCAAACCACACTTCCACCAGTTTCTCTACACCCTCGAAATAGTGTTTGTTCTCTTCCATGTTCGACGATCGATGGTTGGATGCTGAATGATGAAAATAAACACAAAGACAGATGATTACACGTCTGCCTTCTCGACCGAGTGTCGTCCGTGTGTGTATAGAGCAGCTGTCTTATCTCGTCTCAATGGTATCGTCTCCCTTTGCCGATTACTCTGTTTGTGCTTTGTATTATAGCCTTGTGCTTTATCCGTTGCTGCTGATGTTTCTTTCCTTTCTAATTATGACATAAAATTATTTTTCATGTTTCTTGTGATGAATTTTCGTTAGTTTTTTTAAATAATTTTCTGTCTATTACAATCGAATTCGATTCGTCTGCCTTGCCTTGAGTCAATCAAACCTTCTTTGGCGAGCCTTTAACCAACCAAATTTAAAAACGATCCACATACTACAAATGTGGGGGGAGACAGAAGACAACTTCGGATAAAAATGAAAAGCGTAAGAAAATGACAAAATCAGACAATGTTTACGAATGTGGATGTGCTGCATAACAGCAAAAAAGTGCTGTTTAGAAAGAGATATGAAAGAATAGGTGAAACAGCTGATGTACTTTTCCCTCCACAAAATAGGGAGACTTAAATCGATTATTGACAAATCGATAAATATATTAATATATATTGGTCTGTTCCCGTACTGCAAGAATTTACTCTATTTTACTATTTTCTTCGATATCATAAAGGAAAAAAGTGTTATCGGATGGTCTGTTCCCGTACTGCAAGAATCTACTACTTTTTACTACGATAACGAATTTTCCTTTATGTTATCGAAGAAAGTAGTAAAATCTAGTAGATTCTTGCAGTACGGGAACAGACCAGGAATAAAAAATAGTAGATTCTTGCAGTACGGGAACAGACCAATTGAAGTTATCCAGAAAATTGGTTGTTTTCGAAAAAAATACTACTCCATTTGGTAAATTTGATTGTCCAAGACTATTTTAATTAAATTTAAATGTCTAACATTTGCCTATAGGGACTAGGGATGACTAGACCGATTGTTGGTTAATCTGTTTATAGGCAGTGTACACACTAGCACTTAAGGGGGAAACACATACAAGGATTCAGGCCAGACCTGTTAAGTTGTCTTTATATGAATTGTCAATTTATAAAGGAATATCAGAGTCAAACTTGAGTTTGGACGCCGTTCTCCTTTATTCTTTTACAATAAAAAAAACCAAATTAACATTCCAAACCTGAAAGTCCTTTTATGTGTTTCCCCTTTGTGAATGACATTCTTGTCCAAATTTTGCTTGTTGTTGGACTGTCAGTAATCGATAAAAGAGTTGCCAATCAGAAATGATAGTGTGTACTCGCCTTTAATCTGTTTATTTTTCATGATGCCCAGTTTTTCGACATTAAAGACGTGTACATATCATCACTTTTGATTGACATTTTAATTAAAATGTTGCTTGTGTGATCGTGTGGCCGTTGATCAGACACTAGCGAAAATATTTGTAGTTGCTGGACAGTCTGTAATCAATAACAAAATGCTAACAGTCCAAACTGATTGTGTGTATCACCTTAAAGCGGTGTACACACTAGCACTTTTGAATGACACTCTTGTACAAATTTTGTTTGTTTGATAGTGCGAAAGTTCTCGACCGTCATACTTTAGACTACCACGAAAATATTCATGGTTATTGGACAATCAGTAATATATAAAAGTCAAAAATTATAGTGTGTACCCATGGTACAATTATACAAGGTCGGGTAGCTTTTGTCAGAAAGAAGAAAATACACCTCTACCAAATGCAACAAGTCGTTCTGTTCATTTGAAATATTTTTTAACCAAAAACGAGAAAAATGTATGGAATGTCAGGTTTTCTTTTCAAAATCGAGTTGGCGCCTACCTTGAATAATTGTACCATGGAATTTTTGGTCTAAATTATAATCTTTTATTCATTATTCGCATTTTTAATTATGTGTGGAATAAACACAACCACTTCTTGCGTATGTTTTTTTTATATTTGACAGGAGAAACCACTATCGATATAGTAGCTTTTTGGTTCTTCACCTCAAGTTGTCCCGCTTTGTATTATTGTACCATGGTTAGTACTCAATCAAATAATATAGAATTACAATGGCAACTGACCACAGAAACTACTGCAAGAATCTACTAATTTTGAGTTTTTAGACTTAGACTTTTGGACTATGCTGGATTTAATAAATCTGGCACAATGTAAACGTACTATTATGGACAGTTCGACATTCTGATGTGTAAATTAAGGTACTTTTAGATTTAAGAAATCTACTCGATCTCAAATGTCAATTCAATACAGGGTATACGTCAAATATAATCCACTGCATTTGTGAACTGGATTAACGTGGCGTATACGCAATGGAATTGACGTTTGAGATCGAGTGGATCCAATGAATTATTTCAAATGTCTATTCCTAACATTAAAAAAGTTTACATTTATTTATAAATTGGATGATCATGTTTTAGGTATTTTGTTTTACTATTTTTTTCGATATCAAAAAGGATAAATTATTGTAAACAAATTTTTAAATATATTCAAAAAACTCAACTTATATTTACATTAAGAGGAATTCATAAATTGTTTTTTAATTATAAACTTCGCTTTCAACACAAAAATAGTCACAAATTATTCAATTCATCCGTTCTAAATTGTCGTTTCATTAAAAATGCTTCTTAATTCATTTTTCACAGTAAAATGCTAACCCGTTACGCTATTCACCTGAAAATGTTAACACAAACGGCGTTATAGACATATAGACGACTGTTTCATTTTTTTAACGCCGTCATTCATTCATTGCCATTGACATTGTTTTCTGATAAATTGAAGAAATTACAGCCAGAAATAAGTTCGAACCGTACGATAAAATATACCAGTAATCTTTTTAACAAAGAAAGAAAACTCTAAAAGTTAATAGCGAAAAAAAACAAGAGCGTCAATCTGATAAACGACAAAAGAAAACGGTAAATGTTTTAAATAAATTGGTTTTCATACATTTAGTAGTTTCGTTGGGGCAAGAACGAACGAGGAACAACTGAGATTGTCTCAAATCTTTTTTTCCTTGCCTATGCTCTGCCTGATCTGCGCTGCATATATACATGAGCTGCTGTATTTGAGTGAGTGAGTGTGTGTGCGTCGTCGTTGTGTAAAAAGAGTTGAAGGAAATAATTCGTCGTCGAACGACAATTGAAAAGAAAATCGATAGAGAGTACAAAAAGCGACGACAAAAAAGAAAGAATATAAAAAAACCAAGTGGGAAGAAGAAGCAGCGACATTTATTATAGTGAGTGAAAAAATATGAAATCGTGAAGCAAAGTAGAATTTGCGGAGTTCAATAAAAGAAAAAAAGCCTGTCGAAAACGGAAAATAATTCTAAAAAAATGTAAAAAAATTGTTCATTTGTGCAAACAGAATTATTAACAAACAAAAGAACCTCTTAAAAAGTTATTTGCAAAAATTTGTGTGAAAAAAAATAGATTGGGTTCTTTCCGTGTTTGTATATGTGAATGTGAAAGCCTATAACACAGAAAATGTTTCAAGAGTGAGATTGATGAGAAAATGGAAAAAATTGATATAATTTTTTTTTGTAAGAATTAAGAAAAAAGTATTGTTTTTTTTTTTTGTTGGTTGGCAACTGAAAACAAAGAATGTGAAGAAAATGTGGCTAAGTATAATTGTGCAATTTTATTCTTTTGATTTGCAATCAAACATTATTTGCCATTGAATGTATAAGAATTTCCTTGCCTCTATATATCCTTGAAAAGAAACCATTTTACATACACAGGCAGGCAGGCTATATGGATAATGGTCGCCTGCCTGCCTGCCCTGGCCTGTGGGGAAAAACGAACAAACGAAGAGATGAGTTTTCTCAAACAGTATTTTTTCTGCTTGATTTTTCCTATTGTGTGTGTCCCAGTGTGTAAACCTTTCTTCTTCCTCCAAAAAAACGAACGAAACGAAAAAAGAGTAGTGGAAAAGTGGCACCACTAACGTGACGAAACATGTTCAGCCCTTTTAAAAGTTTCAAGAAAAAACGAGATAGCAAGTGTTTGCTGTGAAGTGTCATAACTACAACTGCTACTCCGCACACACACACAATAGTGATAGAGAGAGCGAGTGAGAATATGACACAAAAATACAACTCTGACAATTAGACTTTGCCTAGCCCGCGTACATACGACGACGTCGTTGAGTGACCGACACTGTTGTGCTGTGTTGCCGGAGAGTAGTAGTGTGCGAAAGAGAGAGAGAGCGAGCAAGCAAATTTAGCAAGTGTATTGTCACCAGTAGGAAACAACAGAACAAAAAGAAAGAGGAGAATAAAGACGAAAATGCAATAATTTAGCAACCAGGAAGAAATAATATCCATACAAATAATAAAATAATTATAAATGAATTTTATTAAACAATAATTAGTTAAATGTCGTTTGCACGGTGTGTATGTGTGTGTGTTCTTGTGCAAAACACAGGTGTTGTATCTTCATTTTTGTTTCATCATGAAATATCTTGTGTGCCAACCAAAAGTGCTGCGCGTACATGATTTGTTGTTGGGCATAGCATGTTATGTGTGTGTGGTGAGCCGCCAGCCAGCAGTCGTGTGTTTCTCTGTGTGTGTTTGCTACGTTTTTCCAATTACGTTTGGCCAACAAAATGAAAGAAAAGAAAGACCCCAAAAACTATTGCGTTTTAAATAATTGTTTGTTGTTGTTCCGAAGTTTGTCATTCCTTTTGTTTGTTTGAAGATAATATAATCACAAAAAAGCATGAATACTTCTCCCCAAAAGAAATTATTTTTTTTGCACTTTTCTTGTTTTTTTCTTCCTTCTCATGTTCTCCCCACACGACATAATGTCTATGGTTGCCCAAATGTCAAACAAGCCGAGAGTTAACTGTTATATTCTATTCTAAATACATCAGGGATGTTGTGTTGGGTTGTCAAGCATACAATAACGTAATGGTAACGCAAGGTGTACGTAAATGACATTGGGCAAAGAAAAAAAGGATACAAAAAAAAAAAAAAAATGAAGAAGAAGAAAATGTTAAAGAATTGATAGAAA